CGAGGTGCCCAGAGTGCGGCACACCTGCCAATTTTGGCAGGTCCCGTTGCAACTGAAGATGGCTGCTTGACAGCGGCTGGCCTTGATGGCCAAGCTCGTGTCCGACCACTTGCAGACGCCGCAGCGCTTGTCTGAGGCTTGGAGCTCATTGTTGAATCATCAGCATCAAAAGGTTGGTGCGGTTGGGGGGTGCAGCCAAGAACTGTATTGTTCCGACTTCGAGGCCGATGCGAGTGAACTGCAGGAGTACTTGCGGCTGGTGGAGATGGTGCCCGCCGCAGCGCGGGAGGCTTTGGGGGCCCGTGTCCGCACGGACCAAGCCCGGATGCCCTCCAAACGCGCCGCTATCGCGGCGGGCCATGGAGGAGGCGATCGCCTGCTACTCCCTGCAAGAGACCGCCTTGGCTCGGGCGGGCTCAGGACGCGCGATCCGCCAAGGGGCGGCGTTGCGGGCAAGACTTCTCCACCTTTAGACACTGCCCCGGCGCCATCTGTGCTGCCTAACGTGTTCCTCTAACGCCGGAAAGACCGGGTTGACGCGGCCGCTGATCCACACCTGTGGTGACAGGATTGGAGGCTTGCCACCAGCCCACACTTTGCTGGTGTTTCTGGAGGGCGAGAGTGTGTCAGCTGCTATGAAGGCTGCAGTGAGACCATCCTCCACCATTCATTGAATGGCAAGCCTGGTGGCTGGCCCTCAACAACAGGCTACGCCGCACCCCACACGCACGCACGCGCGCACGCCCCGCCCGCCCGCCCGCCAGCCCGCCCGCCCGCCCGCCCGCACGCACGCACGCACGCGCTCACTCACTCCTCTCACTCACTCCATTCCACTCCACTTCACTCCACTCCTCTCCTGTCCAAAAGTTTGTGTTTCGCTGACCTGACGCAGGCTATGGGAAGATCTGCAGATGATTCGGTGATCATAGTGCAGGCGAGAGGTGGGCGGGATAGATTCGATTTTTTCCAGGCGGGCGTATTGCGCCGTGAAGCGCCATTCAGTTGGGTAGGGTCATGGGATGGTTGTTAAAAATCGTTTTGACGGTGTATGAATCCAGAGTCCGCTTTGCTTGGGGGACTCGTTCATTTTCAAGGATTTCTCAGATTCATGTGGTTCTTTGGATTAACTCGATCTTTTGTCGTCATGTTGACTTTGGCTTGCTCACCCCTTAGAATAATTCCCATCGCAATTGGAACCTCCGACTAGGGTCATTAGTTTGGCTGCTTCTGGGGGCTAAACTGAGAAAGGTGGTTTCCCTTTAATTTACCACTCAACGGGAGATAATGGGGCCAGTCTGATTAATACGGTCTTGGCTGTGGGGGGTATCTTTTTTGGAGTTGGTATTTTTTTGGTGGATTCAAAGCAAAACCAAAAGGAACCCCACCATGTTGCAGGGGTCCCACCAAGAAGACGAGGACCCTGTGCTTTGCGGACCGACGGGCTGGCCTCTGGGTCAGGAACCTGCTGCCAAGCGGCAGCGAGTGGAGGTGGACAAGGAACCGGAGCCAATTGTGAGGCCGGCGGTCGTCAGGTTTGGAGTCCTACCCCGTTTCATCGGCAAGCTGAAGGAAAACTGTTGCGCCATGTTTGGGGATTAAAAAAAAAACACTCATTTGGGTGTGCCTTTCTTTAGCATTTGGCCCTCAACATGGCTTCGGTGTTCTCTGTTTGCTTTCACTTTTAAGCCACCGAACTTGGGGCCCTTCCAAAGGACTTTCTTTTCGAGGAATTAGTTCCCGAAGTTTTTTTGCCTGGAGCAACACTTCACAGTTGTTGGCGTGTTTTTGGAGTTTTTTTTTGTTCTGCAGGGCTACAACAAGCAGTTTTTTGTTTTTTTGTTGTTGTTTTTTGCGACCATACCAAGGGTTGGGCAGGAGAGAACAACCACTATTTTGGGATTCCCAATTTTTGGACAAGGCGATTGAACACATGGCCGAATTTTGGGTAGACTAGGAGGACACGGGGGGCTTGTCCAAATGCTCGAAGACATGCAGGCTCTTTTGGGGTAATGTTTGCATTTTGTTTGTCCAGAGCTTACTCCGCGTGAAGCCCATTAGGGTTTTCCAGGAACATCCAGTGAGTTCCATGTCAGTCAGGTCGGAGGGTAAAAGGGTAGACCAGCCCACAAAAACAATGCCAACCCGTGGTTAATAACCCCCCTCCGCGGTCAACAGGGGCAGAAATATATTTCATTTCTAGACTCTGAGAGGGCGTCGCAGCGGTCGTAGGCAATTCCCCTTTGAGGGGATGTTTGATTTTGCGGCTTTTGTGGACCCCCTGGATACTAAAACAGACAAAGGTTGGGGAAGAACAGGTGGCATCCACTCAAGCCGCATCCGCACTTGTAAAGCTTCAGAGTCTGAAAATAGGCAAAGCTCCAAAAGTTTGGTTTGTCCTTGGATTCCTCTTCACAACCCTAAAGGTACCCTGGCCGAAACAGAGAGAAGCCCTCTTGCTTTTGCGAACTTCCATGGCCAAAAGTGGTGTTTCAGCGATACCAAAAGGGTCTTTCAAGTGACAAATTGAGATGGCTCACTTTGGCATCACGGAAAGAGTTGTTTGTGTCTTTCTGTGGGAGCCCCAAGATTTCGGTTTTCCAGTTGGTTTTCGATTAAACCCTCACACAAGGTACCCAAACAAAGATCCCCCCCACGTTTTCCCGCCAATGGTTTCCGTTCACTTGGTTTGACAGCAGGTTGATCTCTGAAGACCTCAGCGATATTCCCTGAGCAGCGCGGATGCCCCGCTTGCCTAGCTCCTCAAAACTCCTGAGAGGAATGATTGTTTGGGGACAGCAGTGTTGCAGTCACAAGGACTTTAGCTGCGCTGTTGTTCCTACTCAATATAAGGGTTGTGAGAGCCATCAGTGTGGCTCACAGTTTTGGGGCTTCGACAAGGGCAGGAGACGGGCAAGAGACAGCAGTAGTGCGAGACTGCGCTGCCAGCAAGGTACAGATCCAGTTGCTGGTTTTGACTAGGTCCCCCAGTAGTGCCCTTTTATCATTTTTTTGGGGAGGGTTCCCCTACTAAAATAAACTACAGAAAAACAAAGGTACCCTTATTCTAACCGCTCTACTGGAGGACCTAGTCGGTATGGCTCTAGGTGCTTGAACCTGAGGTTTCTACCCTTGGAAGCGCATACCCCTTGGCAACGCTCTTTTTCAACCCCCTTTTGCTTTTGGGGGATAAGCCTCAGGGCTCCATTTTCCTCAACTATGCCACGGGGTATGTACTGGGCCACGTTGCTGGCCCTTTGGGCTTGTCAGCCCAGCACAGACGGCCCGCGGCGTAAATGGCGCGAGGGGAGCCGTTGAGTTTCTCTCCTTACGGAACGCTTCCAGCCGTGGCGAATCACCAAAGCACCGGCTATCGGCCGACTTGTGTTCATCCCATGGACCAAACCAAACGACTTGGACTTGTTGTTTCATCCCATGGACCAAACCAAACCCAACGACTTGGACTTGTTGTCTGACTTGTACTTGTTGTTTCTTCCCGCACAACAAACTCGAGACAGAGGTTCCCAATGCAAAGAAAGAAGCAAGGATGAACGGCTGGTGATGATTCGTGGCTGCGAGCGGTGTAGCTTCAGTGCCCAGTTTGCCCATGGGTCCCTTTCTAGATGGCCTTGAAGCCAAACCAAGAGCTAGGGTGAAATTCAGTCCCCAAGATTTGGATGCTAGTTTCCCTAGTGTCCCTCTACATATTGCGGATTAGGTGATTCGGGATGCCCACTATTTTGAAGCCCGTTTGCGGTCGAAGGATTGTCTTGTGGCAAACTGAGCAGAGCCTGATCTATCGATCGATCCCGGGGTGGGGGAAGGGGCGTGCTCTCGCTGGTTTAGCGTTTAGCGGCGTCTCCGAGCGAGAGAGGGGATGGATGACACTGCTTCCTTTTTGGAGGATACCCGTTTTGGGTCAACAGTTAGGACAAAAAGGGACACCTCTATGCTGTTGTCTTGTACGGAGGGGGATGGGATGAAACTGTTGAAAGCAATGGCCAGCGCTGAGGGAAGCGCTCTCACTGTAAAGACCATTGAGTGCATTGCAGGGAGAAATGGCGTTCGACGTGGTGCGCCATTGTCACAAGCTTTGACATGCCGGCTTTTTTCTCAAAAACATGTTTTTGCTTCCCTGTCATAGAGGAACCCCGAAAACAGGTGACCTCCTTTCGGTTTTTCTTTAAACCCACAAACAGCAGATGTGCCATGGTCAAAACTTGTTCGTTTGCTTGGGAGAACCAGGGATGGGCGCGGATCCTTGGGATCATACCACCGGAATTAGGTGTGTCCTTGTTCAGGGGAAACATGGTCGGTGTCCTTTTGGCTTCCCTTTAAAACCAACCAAACAGGGTACCCCGTAGGACTTCAAACAAGGAATTCAAGGGCATAAACTGGGATAAAGTCATGGCCATTTTAAAGTTTTGACAAATGGTCTCTCAAGCGCCATGTCTTCACTCCCCTCTTCTCTCCATTATTCCCTTCATTTTCCCTGCTCCTTGTCTGCATCCTTTTGTCCACTCCTTTCCTCGCACGTAAAGCTCATGCACTCTGTTTTGCGCTTTGCCGTGTGTTGTGGGCAGTGTTCCTTAGTCGTTTTGCACCTAATGAGGATGCAGGGCTGTTCGAGTACTTTGCAGGCTTCTTTTCTTCTCATTTCTCCCCTTTCAGCCCCTAAAAGTTCGCCGAGGCTGCAGCTCGACCTTGCAGGGGCACGAGCTTTCGTTTGTCTCCCATGACCTCAAGTCATTCTCTCCCAGAGCCTTTCAAATAATATTTGTTTCAAAGAAGACTTGTTCCATCTTTTCTAATGTTGACCCCGGATTAATCACCCCCTGTTTATGAATATGGGGGTGTTCCCCTCCAAAAGGGATAAATCTCCACTAAATTCGGGGGACACCCCCATACTAATCAAAAAGGGGTTTATTAATCCGTTGTCAACATCACCGTCCACGTGAAAGGGGGTCGCTCTTTTTTTGGGCCCCCACGGAGACCCGCGGCAGGAGTTCCGGCTCATTGCGGACGTCAGCGCGACAAAGGCGGCTGAGAAAGTCCTCGTTTTGTTTACTGGGCTCGTGGGTGGTTCACAGTTCGAACATCGGTTTTGGGAAGGATCTTGAGCTTTCTTTTGGGACGTTCACAGTTCGAACATCAGTTTTGACTGACGGTTTGTATGTGTTCATGGAACACACACACACACACACACACACCATCACCAACACAAGTACCGTCCAATCAGTTTTGGGAAGGAGCTCACACCTTTTTTTATTGGGACGAAAGAGGTGCGAGGGACCACGCTGAATGAAGACGGAGCCTTGAGGAAAGATGGCGAGATACTGGGTGACAGCCGGATCTCTCAGCGCTGAAGCAGCTGAAGCTGAAGTCGGAGCTCTTTTCGTCAGTGCAGAGTGGGCATGGAACATTTGCACCCAATGAAAGTACAGACTCAGGCTGGCCATGCAAAAGCTGTCTGTACTCTCTTTGAGGCGAAGGTTAACCTTCTCCCGGTCCTGTGGGGCCAGCTACAAGTGAATTTTCATGACCAGTTACTCAGTTTCCAGATACTCTGCGGTCTTTCTTTTTTGAGGCGCCCCAAGTGTCATTGTCTTTTTGGACGCCTTTGCTGTTGCGGATGTTTGAGGCCTATTGGTGTTGTTTGGTTGGGTGTTTTTGCCCAGGAAACCCGCGGAACGATTTTCGGGAGACGTCAGCATGCCACCCGCTGACCCGCCCCGTCCGTGCGACCCGTGCGACTCGTGCGACCCGAAGGGCCCGCTGGCGAAGCTGCTGGTGACGCTGCCGGCCTTCCGCCCCAGCGCCGCGCCGGCCGGGGGCCAAGAATCCTTCTTTCTCCCGGCGAGAAAATGGGGGGGAGGGTCTTGGGGTGGTCCAGTTTTCCCCCTGAAACCCCGAAAAATTGGGACAAAATCCCTGAAACCACCAAAGTTTTCCCCCTTTTCAACCCCGCCAAAATGGGGTTCCAACCCCGAAAAAGGACCAGGGATTCTAGAAAAATTGATTCCAACCATTTCAGGTGCCCTCCCGCAGGTGTTAAGGGAAGTGGGGGAGGGATATCCTGGATTTTTTTTTTTTTGGTTTGAGGGCGTGAGGGCGTTCAAGGCCGGAACTTCTGGGCCCATGTCAAGAATGGTTGATTCCTTTTTATTTTATTTTCCGACCGTCGTTCTTTTCTAAACCATGCATGTTCTGGGTTTCCGGAGGGTTTCTAGAAAAGACGGATCCCTGGAAAGAACGGGTAAGGCGAGAAAATGGGGGGGGGGGGTTCAAAATAGGGGGACCCCCAACATTGGTGGTGGTCCAGTTTTCGCCCCTTAGACCCGCCCCAAAATTGGGACAACCCCAAAAAAGGACGACCCCAAATGGGAGGCCGTTTTTTTTCTTTAGCTGCTGGTGGCGCAGATGCAGTCTTTTGTCGCGCAGAGTCATGGGGCTGAGCAACCACGAAAATTATCCTCACGAGGACTGCTGGCAGATGTTTTCGAGTGAACCGGCTTTTTGATGTTTGACAAGAAAACGGGAAGCTCACTCTGGAAATTCGACAAAGTCCGGGGAATTGGAAAATCCGAGTGACGGCGCTTTCTGAAAATCGAAGACTGAATCCCACTTGTTGCACGGTGCCAAGACCCTTTTTCTGGGTCAATGCACCAGCCGGTCTTGGGGCCGGTCTTGGGGCACAGGCAATCTGCTCCTTGGATTTCTCGATCCGATTGACCGGGTCGCGGTGCGTGCGAAGTCCTTCACGGTGCAGCCTCACTTCAGACACCTGTCGCATCACTCCTTTGGTAGTTGAATTGGGTGTGTTTGAATTCTGGGGACCTCCCCCAGAAGAGCGTTTTTGCTTGTTGGTTTCCCTTTCCTTCTTTTGAAACCACCTTTGAAAGGCGCTCCCCCCCCCCACACAAAAACACACCCATTTGAGGTCTGTCAAATGTCCCTTTGACCGGTCTTGAGCCCCAGCCCCGACCCATTCTGCGAGTCGGGCATTTTGACAAATTGATAGGGCCGCCGCGGGTCAAAACCAATGGTACCATTTTGGGGTTGGGGGTAGGTTAGTCCATTTTAGTGGGGATTTGGAGTTTGACCCATGGCCATATCCTTTCCACTTCCGAAAGGCCAAAACGGCAGCTACTTCGCTTCAAGAAGGGCAGAAGCTGCAGTGGGAACCAACGGCGTTCAAACTTGGGCTTTGGTTTCACCCAGTTTCGAGCCAAGTCTAAGGACAGAATCTGAAAAGGATGAATGGGGGTTGCGAAATGACCCTACCACTGCAGCTAGGGTCGGCGGGAAATCCAGCAGTTTAGAATTGGCTTAACCATTATAATGGGTGAGGGAAACAACATTTGTAATCTAGAGGACAGTACTTATCAGGGGTGTCCCCCCTGTACGGAAATTGGCTGGCCTAGCTGTGGCTGGCTGGCTGGCTGGCTGCGAATGGCCCCAGGCAGCTCCCAATCCCCTGCTCGGGATGATGGCAGGCGTGGAGAGTGGAGCTTCGTCGATGCCTGTGTCACTCGGGATGCCATTGGTTTACAAAGGCGTGCAAGCCTTTTCTTCTCTACTGCTATTGGGTTGGATCTTTAGCCTTCAACTTTTTGGATTCCCCTCATATTTCCTTTTAACCAGCAAACAGTTTAACTTCTGCTGGGGGATCTACAGCACCAAGTCTTGTAGGTTGATATGGGTGTGCCTCGAAATTAAAGAGCTAGGGCAAACCGCATATTTGTGCATGTTGGCTCCATCTACCAAAATGCCAGTATGCGCGCATCTTTTTGAGCCACAGCCATGAACAATGACTGCGCGGGTCAAGATCTCGAACCGCGCCTTAGGCTTAAAATGCGCGCTGTCTAGCTGGGATCTGTGAATTTGCAGCACCAAGATAAGAACTCCATTGAGTTGTGGTGTTGAGGGGTTGGCATGCGGGGGGGAGGGGGGACGCCACGAAAGAGAGCAACCAAGCAAACGACCAAGCAAGCAACCAAGCAAGCAAGTAAGCAACCCAGCCAGCCAGCCAACCAGCCACCCAGCCCAGCCCAGCCCAGCCCAGCCCAGCCCAGCCAACCAGCCAGCCAACCACCCAGCCACCCAGCCACCCAGCCAACCAGCCAACCAGCCAACCAGCCAACCAGCCAACCAGCCAGCCACCCAGCCCTGCCAACCAGCCAGCCAGCCAACCAGCCAGCCAGCCAACCAGCCAACCAGCCAACCAGCCAGCCACCCAGCCAGCCAACCAGCCAACCAGCCAACCAACCAACCAGCCAACCAGCCAGCCACCCAGCCCTGCCAACCAGCCAGCCAGCCAACCAGCCAGCCAGCCAAGCAGCCAACCAGCCAACCAGCCAGCCACCCAGCCAGCCAACCAGCCAACCAGCCAACCAACCAACCAGCCACCCAGCCAACCAGCCAACCAGCCTGCCAGCCTGCCAGCCAACCAACCACCCAGCCAGTCAACCAGCCAGCCAACCAGCCAACCAGCCAACCAGCCAGCCAGCCAACCAGCCAACCAGCCAACCAGCCAACCAGCCAGCCAGCCAACCAAGTCAACCAACCAGCCAACCAGCCAACCAGCCAACCAGCCAACCAGCCAACCAGCCAACCAGCCAACCAGCCAACCAACCCAAAAAGAACAGGTATTTTTTTTGGCCGGCTCTCCAACCCAGTGACCACTGGTTGGTTGCCCTCGGGAGGCGCTTCCGGCAGCATGCCGCAACCTGGCATGGGCTGGAGGCATCGTCGGGCGTTCAAAACGTGACACGCTGGAGGTGGCTGTGCTCAGTCAATGGACCTTCCTGAGGAGGCCCTCTATTCGGATCTCCCAGGAATGTATTTTGGAATCAGGAGGGTCATGCTGCACCACGGGTCATGCTGGATTTCCCCTCCAAAAACCGCAGTGCAACTGGTGGTTTTCCATTGGACCGAGGAGGATCCAACAAGGCAATGCCTGGCAAACCCTGGAATACTGGGGATGCGTGCGAAAATGAATCCATGGGAATGAAACCAGACGGTTGTTGTTTTGCGCTGGGGAATCATCACAAACCTGTTGTGCGAAATGGTTTTCTTCTATCCACAGTAGGGAACCACCTGGAAAGTCGTTGGTGAAAACAGTGAAGTGGGTAATTTTAGCAGGTGGCCGCGCTGCCTGGCTTATTAGCGATTATAGGACAGGAATCTCTTTGTACATTGTCATACCTATGCCGGTAGAACCAACCGTCAAGAAGAAAATCAGTTCGCACAACTGGTTTCTGATGATTCCCCAGCGCAAATACCAACAAAGGTCTTGTTTGTCTGGTTTCATTCCCATGGATTCATTTTCGCACGCATCCCCAGGTTTTTCAGGGGTCAAATCTACGGTTCATGCCGTTTTTCTTTGGGAGAAACCCGAGGCTGCGAAACTGAAGGGAAGCTTGCTTTTGGGCTACTGATGGACGAAATCCATTTCGCACCACTTGGAAACCATTAGAAAACCATTGTTCATGGGTATTTGCAGGGGATTCATCATTCCGGGGTTTCTGAGGTGCGAAATGGATTTCGTCCATCCACAGTATGGGGGCACTTTTTTGTCCATTTCATTATACCAAACTCTGGGCCTGATTCAGCATGGAACACCAGGTGTGACTTATCAGCTTTGAGGCCCCTGCTAAAGCCCCCCTAACCCAAATGCAGGAGGTTTGGTGGGGGTCAACTGAAGCATGGCGAGCACCTGAAGAGACTTGGGTGTGGCGCGCTTTCCTTTGCGGCTCGGTACCCGTTTTTAGATTGGTTTCAAGGGAAACCCAAATCTAGGTCCCGCACTGGTGCCCTTTTACCGTTTCTTTTTTGGGGGAGGGTTCCCCTACTAAAATAGACTACCGAACAAAGGGGACCCTTATTCTAAACCTCTCTGCTGGAGGACCTAGAAAGGAACCACACTTTTTGTTGCGCCCGCCTATGACACGTACCCACTTCCGGTGTACCAAAGTGGCCCCCGTTTTGCCAGACATGTCCCTATGCTTACTTGCACTCCGTTTCTTCAGGGGGGCCAAAAGAATGGTTTTTCCATGTTCGCCACAGGTGTCCTTTTTGGTTGCTTTAGTGCAAACTAGAGGGCCTTGGTGTACCTGGTGGTTCAATCAACTACCAGGGAAACCCATCTATTTTCAACCAAAAAGGACACCTATGATGCTCGCATGTGGAACACATCGGCGTTTGGCTTGCCGCGAGCCAAGCGGTTTTTCCCCTCTTAGCCTGCGGTCGCCAGGCTCCAAAGCGACAGCCTTCTGGGCTGGATCTTGTCTCCGACCTGCATCGACTCAGCTCTCTACAAGGCGATAGGGCAAAAAATCCGCTGCTGCGATAGGTAGGGAACAGGGTTGTGGGATCACTCGGGGTTTATTGAACCACTTCTGTGATACAAGTTGGAATCTCCCCCCTTTAACATGGGGTGTTAGTCTTTGGGGCTGGCCCTTTTTGTTGTATCACAGAAGTGGTCATTTCCCACAACCCTGGTAGGGAATGACTGCTGGGAATGAACCGGTCTGGATTCTGCATGCTCCCTCCCTCCATGCTGCAGGCTGGTGTTTGCAAAACTGCTGGTGCGATAGGTAGGAAATCACCTTCCGAGTCAGGGTGTTGGGAACGAACTTGCTTGGGGATGCCCGAGTAAAGGGAAACCATATACGGGTTCTATTTCTCATTCCCTGCCTATCGAACCAGGGATCTCACACGGCGGGGGAAGCGGAAAATGCGGCATGGGATGACACGGATGTCTCAGCTGGCAGGACTCCCTCTCAGAGCTTAGCCTCATGGGTACGTTTCCCGCCCATAAGTTTCACACAGCGGAACTTGCCAAGGGATCAATCCATCTTTTTCCTGGTTTTGCCCGAAAACCCCCCAAGTTGTTTTTCACCCCGGAGACCAAAAAGACGAGTCACTCCTTTCCTTCCCCTCGGCTTTCCCGGTCGGCCTCCTCCGACTCTCAGCTGCCCAGCTGCCTCGGCTCCGCTCGGCCACTTTCCCGCTTCGTCTTCACGGCTGGGTTGGATCTTTAGACTTTAACCTTTTGGTTGAAATCAAGTTGGGTTTTCCAAACTACCCCCCCCCCCCCAAAAAAAAAAAAGAAGAAGAAGGAAGAGTTAAACAAGTCAAGTTGGGTTTTCAAAACTAACCCCCCAAAAGTTATCTTAAAAGAACAAAAACAAGTTGGGTTTTCCAAACTAACCCCCCCGGAAAAGTGAGAAAACACTTTTTGCAGGGGGGTCTCGCCAGCCACCAAGTGGTCAGGAGCAGAGCGCCCGCGCGGTGCACTTCGCGCGCCTGGGCAGCCGCAGCCGCGCGTCGGTGGAGTCGGCCCGGGTGCCCACGGAGAGACGGGGGAGGGAGGGCGCGCCCGGCCGTTGCCGGCGCTGGAGACGGAGGTCCCACAGGTGTCCTTTTCAGCTTATGTTGGTTAGACTTAGATGGCCAGTGGGGAGCATAGGTGTCCCCCTTTGGTTGTTTTGGTCGAACAATAGAGGACGATTCCTGGTTTACCTGGTGGGTTAATCATCTACCAGGGCCATCTATTTGCCCCAAAAGGACACCTATGGAGGGGAGGTGCCGACAGATTTGAGTGGCACCCCTTTTGGGCTGTGTCTCATTTTTTTCGAGGTTTACAAGGGAAGCCTGGTAAATGGAAGAGTGGACCAAAACCTGCGTGACCCCGGCGGCTTAATTTTGAGCCACACCCATTGTCTTACTGGCGTGCGTGCGTGCGTGCGTGTGTGCGTGAGTGCGTGCCCCCATGCTTTATTCGCCCGCGTTCAGCTCGCGTAGGGAAGTCACAGCAAGGGCCCTGCCGGATCCCGCCCTCGCTGCCGGTGAAACAATTCCCCGCCCAACAGAAGAGCTTCGGTTGAGAGACTGGTGCAGTTTTTGGATCAGGGGACGGGGCCCCACGATTCACCATGCCGAAGCAAGATGGAAGCTGATGCAGCGCATATGTTGGGAAAGAGCATTTATGTCCCTGTCCAAAGCCTTTGATGCAGATGAAGCCCCATTTTTGGAAGTCCATTTCTTGAGACTTCCGGGGTACTGGCCAGAGTGGGGTGAAAGAGAACCTTGAACCTTTTGACTTTTGACTCCACCCCGCCCTGTCCGGCTGTCTCTCGTAGGTTTGGGGTCTGGATTCTGTCTATGCTGCAGGCTGGCTTTTGCATTTGCTGGTACGATAGGTAGGGAATGGCCTTCCGGGTTTTGGGAATGAACCGGAAGGGGATTCGGAACCTCGTTTCCCTGCTGTGAAGGGGCAAGGATGCCGCCACATGAGCGCCGCACCGAAGCGAGGTTCAACGGCTGCTGCGGGACACCGTGCAGGAGGACCCCTTTTTCACGGACGACGCTTCGGCAGTGCGTGTCTTTGGTCCCTTTCTGTTGGTTTCAAAAAGGGCTTTCCAAAGACTAGCCTCCCATATAAAGGGGAGTCCCTTGTGTCGCGGAAGTGGGGATAACCCCTTGATCCCACAACCAAAGGAACACCGACCCATTTCAAACCCATAAGCCTTTCTTTCCCACTCTCGTTCCCCTTGACCCCTTGACTGGTGTTTCTTGGAGGCTGACTTTGCGCATGCGCGGTGCAGTAGACTTCCTTTCGAATCTGGCCGATAGGACTTTCAACTGGCATTTGGGTGTTGCTGGTTTTAAGGGACCGACCAAATGGTCGTGTTGTTTTTGGTTTCCCTTGAAAACCAAAAAAAGGCGTACCCTTGAAACACCCCCCCCCCCATTTCGCCTTTGACATAAGCAACAGTCAACATTCATGGTGATCTGGTGCATGAACGGGGATGACATGAGGCGCACTTACCAAATTGTGTTGGGCGAAAATAGATAGCAGAAACTTCCCATGTGGGTTTTATCACCCGAATAGTGCCACCTACTCGCATATGGAATACATGTGTGCTCACTGAATTCCCATGTGAGTGAGTCACACCCAAATTTTGGCTGTCGCATATGCCCGCTGTCAATGCCTATCCACACTCTAGAATCCTAAGATATCCTAAGCCTAAGAGAGTTTCCACTACCAAACGACTGCAGGGTCACAAGGGAGAATGGGGACATGGGAACACGGGATAGAGCCACCTCTTAAAGGCTATATAAGCATAAGATTTTAACATCCCAACATCAACATACCCCATCTAAAAGCCATGCTGAAATTCTGTGTTTTCCTTGCCCTCTATCTTGCTATCACATCTTGGGACACGAATGTTTAGTGGGGCTACGTTTGGAATACCCTGCCCACTAACATGCAACCCAGCCCTCTGTCAGGTTCCATGTTAATGGACGGGAGGAATACTCGAAGAAGCGGCTCGTATCGGATCCTTTCTGCCTATTTTGTTCACAGGGCTTCACCCAACTCCTGCTCCAGCTCGCTGGATTTGTTGCTTCACCCCTCCCCAAGTGGCCATGGGTCAACAATGCGGTAACCCCAAAATGGCGCAAGCCCTGGTACATGGAGCCAAAGACTCAAACCTGGCGGTTTCCGGCGGTGTAATTTTGACCCCGCAGGCATATGGCCATGGTCTCAAGCTCGAAAGTCCGTGGGTTCAGTTCGCTTCACCCACCCAGTTGCTCCAGTTCGTTGGCTCCCGAGATCAACATCACCCCCAGCTACAAGCCACACGGAGTTTCGTTGTGTGCCTTGCCGTCCATCTTTTGTACACGAAGGTTTTGCTGGGGCTACGGTTGTTGTGAAGGGATTCACTGGTTCACCCAGCCCCCAAATAAAATCTCAGGCAGTTCCTCCCAGCCGCCACGGATGCGTGGCTCGTCCACCGGACCACTTTTGTGGCCAGGTGCTGCGCCAGGGCAGCAGCGTGATCGCCCCGCTGCTCCGGGCCGGCGAGGTGGGAGGAGAAGCGGGCGGGGGGTGAAGGGTGGTCAGGGTTTCTTCGATATATACATATGCATGTGTATATATATATATATATATATACATGTATTGTATATTATATATACATGTATAGTATATAAAGACATACATATATCTCCACATATATATATATATTGACATATGGTCCCCCCCTCAAAAAATAACGAACAAGCACTTGGTGACAATATCGAGCCCACTTGGGGTAGTATCTGTCTAACATGACTTGACCCCCTTGCAGAAGCAGCAGGCGCGGGTTTTGGGGGGGGGGGGGGGTTCCTTTTGTTCCTCTCCGGGCAAGCCCAAAACGGTGTCCGCCACACCATTAAGATTGAGGGCCCTTTGGTGGACATCATTTAAGGGATTTGGTGTCCATGAACCACTTTTCAGGGGGCTTCCGATTGAAAGTCATAGCCGTGTGTGTATGTGTTGTGCGTTTGGAAGGTAGAATGTTCACCTTGGTTTACAGGAAAGCCAGAACGGTACACGCCCATTGTTGTGGGTGACCTACTTTGACACGTATCCGGTTGGACCCCTCACCCAAACGGAGGTTTCACTTCAATCATCTTCGACTTGGCGCATTCAAATAAGAATACGAAGGAGAAGATTGAGATTGTGAGAACTTCCATATTTCCTCAGCCTTTAATCGTCTCACAGATGCAATGGTTTATCTGCCGCTGAGTCAAGATGATGTCTTTGAAGTAAGGATTGCCCAAGGGACCTACGCCTGCACCCCAGTGGAAACCAATATCCACGATAGCAATACCACGATGGCAAGACCGGAAACAGCGCAGCAGCATGCATGGTCTATTGTGTTTCACCTGCAATGAGCTGCCAGCGTGCTGCGTGCGTTGGCAACTATGACTCGTGGAACGACAAGAGGACTTTGAAAGGTTCTAGCATACGCAACTGTTTTTGTTGGTGGGGATGCCTTTAAGTTCCTTTTGACTTCCCTTTGCTTCCGACAAGCAGGCGGTCTCAGTTTTTGCACATGTTCACCTCAAGCCTTGCCGAAACCTCAAATGGCATCCAAAGGCACTCTCTGGTATGGGTTCTGGTGTGGAAGGTAATCCCTCGTGGTCTCCGCTGCTTGGGGACTCGGCCCCCCGCCCCTCTCCCCCCCGTCATGGGCTGAACCCAAGTCTTGTTCCCTGGGCTGGGGGTACCGTGGATTGGCCAAAATACTGCAAGTACCACAACACACTGAACCGCCACCATGGCAGAGCACTGTAAATTACACGGTTTCCTTGTCTACACGGTTTCCTTGTTCCCTTACTTGCCATATGCTGCCATATGCAAACGGCTTCCACCGTATGGGTCTGTCTTTTTTGTGGGGTATTTCTTTTTATGACTTTGAAGGGACACCAACAGGAACTCCGAAATCCATGTTGGGGGAGCACTCTTACAAGAGGACATACCCTCCCTTTTCCAACATGGCCACTGACAGTCCCTCCAAGAGATCGGTTACCCACGGAGGCCACGCGGAACGCGGTGGTGGCGTGGTTTGCTGCTCTGGTCACCGGATCTCAAGCCAGGCAGCGAGGGCTTGGATGGATGAGCTGAAAGTGAAAGGGAAGGCCAAAGCGCACCACCCAAAATGGGATACCTCCCCTTTTTTGAGTCGGTACCCGGCTTTGAATGGGTTGGTTGAAAGGAAGGCCAAAAGGACACCTACCATCTGTTCTCTTTTTTTTTCCTTTTTTTTTTCTGGGGGGTCGTTTTTGAGTCGGTACTCGGCTTTTAATGGGTTGGTTGACCTACCATCTTTTCATTTTTTCTGCGGGGGTCCCTTTGAGTGTGTCTTTTCTTTGGGTTTGGAGCCCTTTGAGAGTAGGTGCGAGCATCGCGGTTCATGAAGATCCGCAGACACACTGGGGTCGTCCTTTTCAAGATGTTGGACCCCTTCTATTTTGGGGCACGGTTTTCTTCGTGTTGGTTTCGGGTACCAACTCCAAAAAAGAGACATTGATTCGGGAAGTTGTCCCCGATTTTGAGATGGACAATGAAGGGTTTGTCAGAGTGCAGTGCAGACGTCACCCAAGCGTCCAGCGGTTTGTTTGAGGGTCCCCTTGTAAACTAGGTGGTTTTGGGATGTTCCTTTCATGTTCAACTATGGTCAACCTATTGTCTTTTGTTTGGCAGGGATGACGCGTCATTTTTTGAGGTACCCCTTGTTGGATGGTTTTCAAGGGAAACCAAAAAGGAACCCTACCATTTTGGGGGTCCCCTAAAAGAAGTTGGCAAGTTTCAGAGTGCAAATCTTCCATGAAGAAAAGGACACATGAACCGACATCCCCACAAGCAGACAGCTCAAGCAAGACATACCTGTATTCTAGGGCTAGCTTCCCCATTCTTTCCAGGTATCCTTCGTTTCAGGAAACCATCCAAAAACCCAGGGAAACGGATCTGGTTCTTGAAAAGAACGATGGTTGAAAAGAATGGAAAAGGAATCTAACCCTAAAACCTTGCGAGTAGACCTTCTTCCATTTGCTGAAGTCCCCTGAAGAAACCAGCCATCTGGCCATGGTAAAGGAACCAAGCCCTAGATGTACAGTTTTTTTGGTTGGGTCTCTCGTCTGAGACCTACGTTTCTTGGCTCAGCTTTCGTCTTTCGCGCGCTTTTTCGGCAGGACCAAGAGCGCGAACTTGATGGACCAGGCCTGGTGCTCAAACCATTGACAGGGCTCCTGAAAAGACACCAACATAAAGGGAAACCACCATTTACAAGCCAATGTTCAGGTGAAAAATGTAAGGATCCCTGGTTGACTTTGCTCCTAGTTACGACGAAAATGGAGTATGTATAACGACCTCACACGACCGAATTCACCCCAAATAATGGTTTGTGTGGGGAGCATCCCCCCAACCACCTTATTCCAGGCTGGTGAAATATTGTAATTCACCCAGGTATGTTCTTTTGGGTGCGTCTTTGGGATTCGGACGCCCCCCCCCCCAAAAAAAAAACATGGCGCGGCGGTTTTCTTGTGGCTTCCCCTTAAACCCCACAAAAAAAGGGGTACCAACTCCAAAGAGGACGAGGCCCAATATCACCATGTCACATAGGCAAAGGTCAACGTTCATGGTGATCTGGTGTATGAAAGGGGATGATATGAGGCGCACTGACCAAAAAACAGACTGATCAAGGTGTCCAGCTTCGTCTCCAGGCGGAACACGTCCTAAGACATGTTGGGGTGTCTTTTTCGAGGGCAGACCCATTCAAAATCTTAAGGCAGCCCTTTGTTGGTGTCCTAAAAGGAAAACCAAAAGGAAACACCACCAGCACCTGTCAAAGAATGAAGAAGGCGGCCCAATGCTATGGTTGTGATTGTCCCTTACTACCCTTCATCTACCCGGGTGTGTTTTTTTGTGGCTCAAAAAAAGCACTACCTGTTCGCCTGGCGGAAAAAAAAAGAAAAAAACAACACGAAGTATACCAAGGGCTATACAGTCCATTTTTTCTTCTCGGGGTAGCGGGGAAGCCACGTCCTTTCTGGGAAAAATCGGTCGCTTGGCGCTAGGGCCAAGGCCCGCAGGGCTTCATGAGCATGCTGCAGAGCTCGCCCAGGACCTCAGGAAGTGAAGTCGCTTCGGAAATTGGCGCGGCCGTTTTTTTTTTGCCGCCGGTTGGGTTGGTTTTAAGAGGATGCCAAAAGGAAGCCACCAAACTATGGAGGTCCCCGGAAAAGAAAAAAAAGGAGAAGAAAAAAGGGACACGCCCGCTTCATTGACTTGGTGGTCTTGCAGAAGCGTCAGCTAGGAGATGGAATGCCCAGAATAGGAAGCTCCAAACCGAAACATGGGCTTCATGTGAATCTGGAGCGCGTATCCACGAGTTCTGCCTGTTTTATTGCGAGTCACCGATCCGGAGGTAAAACGAGCACATGATATAAAGGTCCTGTACTTGGGGGATCCAGTTCTTAATTCAGCTTTTTAGAATTGTTTCTTCACATTTGCCGTATTTTGCCGTCATCCTTGAGGCCAATGCCGTTTGACATGCAGCTGCAAATGCAGATCATGAAGGCGTGGGAGCGGTTCTTGGCGCCCGGCACAGGGCTCCAAAGCTCCAAGGAACAAGAGTCCAACCGGGCGGCGAAGGTTTGGCCGAGATTTTCCACGGGTCCCTTAAAAATGGAATTGGGGAAGGGATACCCTCTCCCCTGCAAATCTCCATGTATGGCAACCCATTTTCCTTTTTGTGGGAACACTAGGGGAATGGTCCCCACCCCCCGCCCCAGGATGGGACGAGCGAATGTTGAAGGGTTATCATATTCACCACAAAATAACAACGAGGGCATGCGAGGTTTCCACGCACCAGCCAGCTGAGAGAGTTTTTTTTTCAGGCGAGTGGTTGTTTGGTTGGTGTTGAAAAGGGACATTTGGGTGCGGGTGAAGATCAAATCAGCGGTTCGAATTCGTTTTCCCCCCCCCCCCCCCCCCGGGTTATGCCAACCTGATTTCAAACAGAAAGGAAGCCTATTTTTTTTTTTTAAAAAAAAAAGATGCACGGCTTGACAACAACTAAGACCCCGTCTGCTTATGGAGCAGTGGAGAGCGATAAAAGGATGCCAACTCCACAGAAACAGGGGCCCATTTGTGTGAAATGGTCAAAAGACCTCTTTACTTGGGTAAGGATCCTTAAAAGATACATGTTGCCCATTTGAAACATGGCTTTTTCCACCAACATAAAGGGACACCACCATTTACAAGGCAATGTTCAGGTGTATATTGTAAGGATCCCTGTTGGGTAAGTAATGCTTTCTTTTGCGGGAACCATGACCAAATTGACCATACTGTGGATGGACAACACCCATTTTGCGCCACCTAAGAAGCCCCGGAATGACTCCCCAACGTAAATACCAACAAACATTATGCATGGTTTCATTCCTATGGTTTCATGTCGTTCGAATGGATCCGCGTACGACTACCTCAAGCATGGGTTTTCCCCTTGATTTTGGGGGTTCCCATAAAAACGACACACATGTCACCCAGGTCGGTTCTGAGGAGTTTTGAGACCACGGCTCCTTTAATCATGGAATCTTCGGGGGGGGTATGGGGGGGCAGGATATCCCAAGGATAAGCCCAGGATAACCCAAGGATAAGCCCTTACTAAGGCCTTTTTCAGGGCTTAATACGGGATAGATCCCCCTCCCAGTTCGCCCTTCGCTTTTCGCTGTTCGGGGCGGAATTTTGCGGAGGCTCAGACCTCGGGCTATGCCACCTCCGGCCTTTGCGCTTGAGCCTGTGGAAGGGAAGAAGGGGCTCACAGCTTTGAGGAGATGCCTCCACAGAAAATTCAAAAGGACTCTGCCCTCTCCATGTTCTTGAAGTTTGGCACCTCTTCCTCTTTTTCTCGAAGTTTGGTACCTTTTTCCTGCAGTTGGGTACCTTTTTCTTGAAGTTTGGTGCCTCTTTCTTGAAGTTTGGTACCTTTTCCTTTGAAGTTTTGTACTTTTGTACCTTTTTCCTGCAGTTGGGTACCTTTTTCTTGAAGTTTTGTACCTTTTCCTTGAAGTTTGGTGCCTTTTTGTGGGTTGTCTCAAACAGAAACCACTAAAGCCAGATCCTCAAAACTGTTTCGGGTGGTTGCAGGTTAGGGACCGTCCCCATACCAGAAATGGGTGCCTTCGCCGCCATAGCTCTTGACATGGTTTTTGGGTTCATCGTGTTGGTGCCAGGTTTTGAGTATGACTCACATGTGCCTTGCTGGAATCCACTTCAAGAAGCCTTTTTGGGGGGGAAGGTTCCGTACTGCATAGGCTGGCCGTGGAGCCCGGAGGGGGGGAGCTCAGAATTTCCGCGGTGCCTCAGAGGGTTTGAAAAGCGCGGAGGTCAACAGTTTCTGGGCCATCCTGGAATTGGTGAAGCCCATCAAGTTGGCGCAGGCGCGGATTTTGGGTTGCTTTCGGGCTTCCGGCTTAGATTCGAGTTCCCTCTTTTCCCAGGAAACAAATCAGCTTGTCAACAGCAGGGGGGGTCTCTTTTTGCCACCTTTTGTGAGGCAATTGGCGACCCCCTCAAAAAGGAATCCTTCACTACAAGGGGGTCGATCATTTTTCCACCAAAGGTGGCAAACATATTTTGCTTGTCAACAGGTGGCTTCAACTCAAAGGATGCGGGGGTGAGATAGGGAGGTTGACCACTTGAGACTTCGCGGCACGACTGCCTGACTGCAAGATATATTTGAGAGTTAGTTTTCCCAATTCACAAATGAACTTCCAGGGGATCTTTGACCCCAAAATAATTGTTTCCTTCTGACATGTCCCATGCGTCTGCAAAGAAGGGCTGAGGCGGCTCAAGGCGGGGGGGTATGGCACTGAACGGGGCTATTTTGCAACCTTCTTCTTTTAGGGTATTAGTTTGTTTTTTCCTTTTTTTGTTTAAGAATAAGTTTTTTTTTTTTTTTTTAAGGGTATGGTTGCAAAACAAACTCGGGGTGTCCATGGCACCGGGGGGGGGTGACAGGGGGGCGGGGGGAAAGGGGCGAGCGGCGGATCGACCTTGGCAGGTGAGCACCTTGGAGCCCTTCTATCTGCTGAGGGAGGGTGCCCATGACCGGGAGGCGCCGAAAAAGCGGGGCTCGTTTTTTCTCTCCATTTTTTCTTTCTTTTCTGTCGGTGCTGAGGCGTGGCTGTTTTTTGTTTTTCTCCCCAAGACCATAAGACTGCAGTCAGAGAAAGGGGTGGTCATTCTTTACCACGGCGCTTTTTTCAGGGTCAGGCTTGGGGTGGAGATGTTTGAAGGAAGGGACACCAAAAATTGAAGCCCACTCGATCACTCATTTCGGTGGGTTGCTTGATTTCGAGCCCCGAAATTTGGTCTCTCTCTATACCCAGAAGCCCTGGGTCGAAACAGCAATCCAGTTCTGGGGTTGATTCGTGGGCCTAAGGGGGGCAACACCGCCTTGGAGACACGCGCCCATGGAGCAAGTTGAGCACCGAGAGAGGAGATGGATTGGGCTTCCCAAACACCAGGGCACAATGAATCTGGCTGCTTTGCAAGCCCAGGGCTAAATTTCTTAGTTTTTGCTGTAAGGAAAACCAAAACCAACCACTTTGGGGGGGTCCCCTAATTTCAAGACACACATGGAGCCCGGATTGACAGTGGCTCACATGGCTGCTCACAACACGCTGAGTTGCACTGCTTCCGTTTTTGTTTGGCACTGTGCAACAGCTAGTAGTTCCCATCTCCATGTGAGCCACAATCAACACCCGGGTAAGTGCAGGTTCGTAAGGGACAATCCCAGCCAAAAATGGGCGCGGCCGCCTTTTCAATTCTTTGAATGGCTCTGGGTTCACCATTTTGGTACCAGGTTTTTTGATTGTGGCTCATGAGGGTGTTCTTCTATTTTTAAGGTACAGCTTTTGGAGTGGTGAGGGTAGTTGTCCTTTTGACGCGCCCAAAAATGCAAAGCCGAGCCCCGTTTTTGGCGGGTCTCCCCCATCTTTTCCGGCCCCGGTCGTTTCCAACGCTCCGAGACGGGGTGGTGGTTTTTGTTCGGCTCGAGGTCATCGGGGGCTTTCTGGAGGAGCCCCGCTTCGGGGACACGGAGGAGGTGGAGAAGGCGAGCGATGGGCGAAGGTTCGTGCCCAAAGGGGCGGGATTCGAAGGAAGTTCGTGCCCCTCCATTTTGGTTTTTGTGGTTTTAACTGGAAACCAAAAGGGACACAGCTTTTTTTTTTTTGGGGGGGGGGGGGTCTGATTCATTTGTTGTGTGGTTTTGCGTGGAATCCAACTGGACACCACGTCTTCATTTTTTTTCGGGGGTTCTGATTCCTAAAAAAAGACACACCTACATTTTGCTTTTGAGGGCGACTCAAAGAAACTTTTGGGCATTGGGGTTGTGACTTTTTAGGGGTACCCTGCGCACCTTTTGTTTAAGGGGGAAGCAACTTTAGCCCTTCACAGCTTTGCTTTCTTGGGGGAAGCAAAGGAAAGACCCTCCCATGTTTGGGTCTCCCTATACATACTTTGGTGCATTTCGCCCAGGGCTGTTAGGACTGAATCACTTTTTGCCAACTAATGGGCTTTCCACTAAACCACTAAAAGTTATTCACTTTTAGCAGGGGAGCAGAAAGCAACCGGGACTCATTTCTTTGCTGGACGGAGCACCCCATGTAAATCATGTCCGCCAACGGCCTTGGTCCCCAGTTCACATTCACTCGTGGTTGCATCTGTAAAGGAAAGCTCAGTTGTTCAGCGGCACCCTTTTTCCTCTTTTTTTTAGTGGCTGCCCCACTAAAAATGGACTGACCCCCCAAAAAGGGTTCCTTGTTTTTCCCAGGGTCACTGAACTGAGAAAAGCTTTGGAAGCCGGGCGCAGTTTTTGGGGTTTCCCGCCTGTAGCGACAGAAGCCTGGGGGAAAAAGACCTGCCGAAGGTTGGGGGACTTTTCTGGAAACCCATTAAATGGGTATCGGAGAGAATCAAACCACCATGAGGCCGTTTAGTCCATGCTTCCATGCCCACTTCTCAAACACCAACTCCACTAGGTCCTTCAGTAGGGAGGAGAGGCCGCTCACCCAGCGCCCTCTTCCAATGAAATATCCAGCCGGCTTGGTGCCCCCCCCGGTAGATCGCTGTCTCGCCCAAATTGATGAGACAAAGACGTAAGCCGTGCTCCATCGTTTTTTCTGTAGTCTATTTCAGTAGGGGAATCCTCCCAAAAAAAGAGTAAAGGGGGACCTAGTCCAGAGGCACCACTCAGACCAGGAAAGCCCATGCCGGCCCGCCGCCTCTTCACAGCCCCACCTCCCCAAACTTATAAGGATTGTTCCCTCCTCAGGTTCAGCGTGGTGTCTTGGACATGTTGCCTCAAAAAACAAAAAGGGGTCCCCCGCACCTTCCGTTGCCATTCAAAAACCAATCAAAAACAGGCCGCCCCCCAAAAAAGGGAGGCGATTAGAGCACCAAATGGCTGTGGTTGTCAGAATAGGGCAACCCCAAAATGGCTTGCCCTGGAAAAATATAGAAGTGGCTTGGGCCAGGCTTAGGCTTCGGACGCGGAGGTTCATTGGGGCAGGTTCAGGGCTGCTGAGATTTGTTTGCTGGTGTCCGAGTACGGGAACGCCGCCTTCAACAGAGCCCATATGGATGAAATCCTTCCCATCTGCTCGTAGCCCAACCGCAACAAACCCTCACCCCCTTGGATAACCGCAAGCACAACTGGGTTTTTATAGGGGGCGGTCTTTTGTAGCGTACCCCCAGGATGGACTTCGGTTGTCCCGGGTGTAAAACCCCCGCCTGTGCTAGGCCCGAGAGGTGGCGGCCAAGCATCTGGCGGAAGCCTCCAAGCGGCGGCCTCGGATGTGGCCGAGACGGCGAACGCCGAACCCCAAGTGGGCGGCTCGGCTTTTTTGGTTTGGACCCGCCCGCAGTGGCGCAGCTCGGCGTTCCAAATGCATTTTGTTCCCCGAAATAGACCTCCACAGAAAACGGGTTAGCTGGAAGTGGCCATGATTATTTAGATTGGGAGCCACTGAGCTCAGGTTGGTGGACCTGCTCGATGGGCACCACTTCGGGTAATGAACACATTATTCCCAAGTCAAGCTCCTCTATGTTCCCTCGCGTGGTCTCCATCTAATTCGCTCGCTGAGTTCTTGGGCTGAAGAGTTGCGTGATGTCACCATTCCAACGGCAAACAGTTGGGCCTTATTTCGGCTTACTCACTTAGGAGACTGAAGCAGGTTTCCTTTGTGGCTTTCCTTTGTATCACACAGGAATGCCCAGACAGCCCGTGGATATCTCTGAGGTTTCCGACCCAGATCTTCTGGCTCGCCCTGCGAGTGGCTTGGCAGTTTGGGTTTCCCTGATCCTACCAACAAGGGAATCACACAATGGGCTGTTGGTTGGGTTCTTGGGTGTTGGTTTTGCTGGGCTGTTGTTGCTATGGGCTGCTGCGCTGTTTGTGAGGGTTTGGCTGTTGGGTTGGGTTGTCAGGCTGGTTGGTCGTTTGGTTGTTAGGTTGTTGGGCTGTTGGGCTGATGGGCTGTTGGGCTGTTGGGTTGTTGGGCTGCTGGGCTGCTGGGCTGTTGGGCAGTCGGGCTGTTAGGCTGTGGGGTTGTTGGGATGTTGGGCTGGGGCTGTCAAGACGTTAATGATGCTGGGTTTAGAGGACAACCCACCATTTTGGGGGGTCCCCCGACAAAACAAGACACACCCAAATGAAGCCACTTCTACTTATAGTGAAAAGCGCCGCAAGTCAACTCCGCCCATCTCGGTTCAGCTCATCTTTTCCACCATAAAGGGAATCGTGCCTCGTTTCGCGTGGAGAAGCGTGACAAAGGGAGCACACGAATACAAACCACAGACATGAGCCGCCCTGTTTTGGACTTGAAGGGAAATCTAGGGACTTTTGTATGGTTCTTGCGCCAGTTGAAAGGAAACACCTGTTGCCAAGGGTCCAGATCCGCGCCGAAGGACTGCTCAAAGGTTCCAAGAAAGGTTCCAGATCGGGGCCCAGTCTAGATTTGGGTTTCGCCCCTGAACTCGACCCCCTTTGTGGCTTAAGGGGAAGCCAAAAGGAAAACCCCGAAAATTTGGAGGACTCTTGAGAAAAAAAATCGACCCGCATGGCTTTTATTCCAGGGCTGTTCTTCCGCGGAGCCAGCTAGGCGTTTCACGTGCTCCTAGTGCCCGTGATGAAGGACTGAGCCATCGATGCGCCGGAGAGCGGCTTTCCACGGCGCCCGGCGCCGCGCTTCCCGCAGTTTCTTGTGGTTCGCAAGGCAAGGTCAAGGTGCAAGACACCAAGACTTGTCCTTTTTAGGTGAGCCTGGTTAAAAATAGATGTCACTGGTTTAGATGGGTTTTGTTCCATTTACCAGGGAAACCTGGAGAGAATCAGAGAATCGTCTGTCCAGGAGAACTTGTGCATGGTGGTGGCCGCCAGCTACTTTCATGGCAAGAACATGCAGACCATGGAGGCCTCGCCAAAAAGTTAAACCTCGCCAACTGGCTTTGGAGAGCAGCACCTTTTTGCAAGCTTTTCGCAAGCACAAGATGAGCACTGCCTCCCAAGCATCACGACCTCATCCCTTTGATGTGTCTCTGTGCCATGGTCCCAATGTCCATACCCCCTGCTCTTGGGGGAATTCCAGCCAGGTTGGGTTACTAAGGGCGCCTTCTGTCCTTTGATTAGTCAGAGCCCACAACTTTTTTGGTCGCATCGCCCAATCCGATTCCAGCATGTCAGCCATCCCCCGCCTTCCTCTCCCTGGTCGGGAAATATGTATGGTGTCTCAAAATAGGGACCCCCAAAAGAAACAACTACTGGATGGTTTCCTGTTGTTTCCTTTAAAGCAACCCCAAAACGGTACCCGCGAAAAAGGAGTTCAGACCCATGGACGTGAATTTTGACATCACTCATCAACCATTTTCGAGGGTTGCCCCAACTAAAGTTCACACCATGAATTTTTTTTGGGGGGGGATCCCCCACAATGGTGGGTTGTCCGGTTGGTTTCCCTTTTAAGGCCAACTAAAAAGGGGTACCCTCAAAAAAGACCCCTCTATAATTACACACGTCATATACATACTGACATATTTACGGAGAGTCCTTTCCGCCCGGCATTGTTGCGCCCTTTCCCTGTCAGACAGCCATGGGAGAACACCTGGTACACGAAGCAATCCTCGGCAGCAGCAGCTTCCTAGGCGCGGGTTGACACGTTCCAGGTGGTTTTCGGTTGGCATCGTTTTTTCCCCAACAGCTGAAAGCTTTGGGGTCTCAGCCCAGATAGGCTCCGGGGTGGTTCGGGGCGACCCTGAGCTAAGGTTCCACCAGGGTTCCACCAGGGTTCCACCAGGGTTCCACCAGGGTTCCGCCAGGGTTCCACCAGGGTTCCACCAGGGTTCCACCAGGGTTCCACCAGGGTTCCACCAGGGTTCCACCAGGGTTCCACTAGGGTTCCAGGCTGCGGGGTGGTCCGGGTGGTTTGAGGTAAGGTTCCACGAGGGCTGCACCAGGGCTGCAGGGTGGTCCGGGGTGGCTTGAGGTAAGGTTCCACGAGGTTTCCACCAGGGTTCCAGCAATTTCTTCAAGGGGTGGTCCGGGCTGGTTTGAGGAAGGTTTCACAAGGGTTCCACAAGGGTTCCACCAGATTTCCACCAGGGTCCCACCACGGTTCCACCATCTGCGAGTCCGGGGTGGTTTGAGGTAAGGTTCCACGAGGGCAGAGTTTCACCAGCCACGAGGGTTTCACCAGGGTTCCACCAGGGTTCCACCAGGGTTCCACCAGGGTTAGCGGTCCGGGCTGGTTTGAGGTAAGATTCCATGAGGGTCCCGCCAGAATTCCACCAGGTTTTGTAAGGTAAGAATCCATGAAGGTTCCAGCACGGTTCTAGCAGGGTTCCACGAGGTTCTGCAAGGGCTGCGGGGTGGTCCTCAGTGGTTAGGTACGGTTCTCTGAAGGTTTGATTCTGACAGGGCTGTGGTTCCACAAAGTTCTGCAACGATTCCACACGGGCTCCACAAGGCTCCACAATGTTCCACCAAGGGTTCTGCAAGGTTCCGTGGCTTGCCCTGGAGGGAAGCAGTGTGTCGTGCGCCCGTCGCCATCGGATCAAGATTGGGCGGAACACTAAGCAAAACCGAAATCAATGGCTTTTAGCACACTTTCACTGCTTTGTGACTTGCTCACTTGCTCAGGCAAATGTTGGCTTTGTGGCAAATCAGATCACGTCGCTGCGGGACTCACGGTGCAGCAGAGCATTGCTGCTTGGTGGGCTTTGGTTTCCAAGAATTCCACGAGGCGCGCGGGCTATGAGGTAAGGTTCCAAAAGCATTCCACAAGGTTGCCACCAGGTTCTGCAAAAGCTATGGGGCAGCCCTGAGGAAAGGTTCCAACAAAGTTTAACGCTGAGCTCCACGAAAGTTGCATGAGAACGGTTTGCGAGGTTCACCGGCCTAGGTCGGGGGCCCGATTGCACTGGCGGGGCCCGATTGCAACGCTTGGGCCCGATCGGCCCCGATTGCGCCATCGCGCCCCGATCGGGGCCCGACCCCGTCAACTGTACCAAGCTGGCATCGCCTAGTTTTGCTATAGATACAGTTGTAATCCGCATGCTAAGGAAAACCGTTGAGCTATAATACGGGTGGCTGGGGTTGCACCACGGGACGATCGGGCCCCTGCCAATTGCACCGTCGGGCCCCGATCGGGCCCCGATTCGATTGCACCGTCAAGCCCCGATCGTGCCCCGATTGCACTGTCGGGCCCCGATCGGGCCCCGATTGCGCCGTCGGGCCCCGATCAAGGCGTTGCGCTGTAGCTTTGTTGCAAGTTACAAGGCGGATCCTCAGCAACACCGGCGGTAAGGATGTCTCGGGGTGTTCTGTGGGGATTCTGGGAGGGTGTGGTGCTGTTGGGGATATCGCCCGAGCGGACGTGTTTCGAACAAAACACATCTTGAGATGGGACATATATTTCCCCAACAGCTGAAAGCTTTCTCAGCCCAGATAGGCTCCGGGGTGGTCCGGGGACGCTTCCACCAAGATTCCAGGGTTTGAACAGGGTTCTTTATCAGGGTTCCACCCTCCACCGCAGTTCTTCACCAGGGTTCTCCACCAAATTCCCACCAGGCTTCCACCAGGCTTCCACCAGGGTTCCACCAAAATTCCACCAGGGTTCCACCAGGGCTCCACCAAGGTTCCACCAATGTTTCACCAGGGGTTCCACCAGGGTTTCCATCAGGGTCCACCACGTTCCACCACGGTTCCACCAAGACCAGCGAGGTAAGGTTTAAGGTTCCATGAGGGTTGTACCACCAGTTCCACAGGGTTCCACAGAGTTGCAAGGTTTCGTGGTTTGCCAGAAAAGCCATCGGAGCAGCAAATTGAGGGCTCAGAAGATCGCTTTGCTCATGGGCGGAACACTAAGCAAAACTGAAACCAATGGTTTTCAGCACATTTTCATTGTTTTGACAGACAACGCGACCTGAAATGTTGGCTTTGTGGCAAATCAGATCACGTTGCTGCGGGACTCACTGTGCAGCAGAGTAAATGGCATACTGGGCATTACTTGGTGGGCTTTGGTTTCAGGGGTTCCACGACGCTGCAAGAGGGCTATGGGGTATGGTTCCGAAAACGCTCCGTGAGGTTTCCACCAAGTTCTGCAAAAGCTATGGGGCAGCCCTGAGCAAAGGTTCCAACAAAGTTTCACGCTGAGTTTTGCGAGGGCCCCACGAGGACGGTTTGTGAGGTTCACCGGGCCCAGGTCGGGGCCCGATTGCGCCGTCGGGGCCTGACTGCACCGTCGGGGCCCGATCGGGCCCCGATTGCGCCGTCGGGCCCCGATCGGGGCGGGGATCACTTGCAAAACAGCTGGGTCAGTCAACCACGGCTGGCTGTAGCGAAAAGTGTGTGTGTGTGTAGCCACAAGGTGATGCAGATATGTTCGTTGCTGTTGAATGGTTGGGGCGCGAAGCCTCCATTCTCGCGGTTTTGCGGCCGAACCTTGCGCTTTGATCAGTTCCCACTTTTGAGATGTTCGACGGTCCGTCCTGATTCCCGTGGTGCTCAGAGGCATCTAAACTGGGAGTACTGCCCTTCCCCAGGCAATATCAGCTGTGAGGCACCATGGGCGAACCATGACCCATTATTTGGGCTGATCCTATGGGTGGCTGGGTTGGTGGGAGCCCGCTTGCACCACGGGACCATCGGGCCCCGGTCGGGGTCCGGTTGCACCGTCGGGCCCGATTGCGACGTCGAGCTTTGCTTATAAAGTTGGAAGGCGGCGTCCTCAGCAAATCCGGCGGCGAGGTGGGTCCCGGGGTGGGTTCCGCGAGGATTCTAGGAGGGTGTAGTGCTGTTGGGGATATCGCCTGAGCTTATTTTATCTGGGTCAGAAAATCTGGGGGACTTTGTTGCATGCTTTGGGACATGCTTTGAACAAACATGATCTGTGCTAATTCCCCCAGTAGTTCCCTTTTCTCCCCTTTTTTGGTTGGGAGGGTTCAACCCTACTAAAATTTACACGATTCAGAAAACAAAACTCGGGTACCAACCTATTCTAACCTCTCGATCTACTGAGGACTTTGGGACCGTGCCGTGACTTTCTGGGCGATTCGGCCGAAATCGAAGCGCGAAAGCCGCGCGCCAGGGGACTTGGGCGCCTTCCTGAACCTGGCCTGGGCCTTGATTGGGGTGCGTTGGTGAAGTACCATCTTTATCTTATTTTTTCCGGGTTTAAGCCTCCCATATTGGAGTTCAGGAGGGTCCAGGGAGAAAGAAAGGAGTCCCCATTGAAAGGGAACGCTTCTCAGTCCGTTTTGGGCTTCGGTGTAACCCAACGGAGATCAACCCATAACCCGAAATCGGAATGTGGAGGATAGGTTTCTCTTTCCAAACAAATCGCAGACTAACAGCCAGCCCACTCGCCAACCAACCAACCAGCCCAGCCCAACCCAACCCACCGACCGACCAACCCACCGACAGACCAAACCGATCTCAGCCAAGCGAAACCCGCGAAGGCCATGGCCTTCTTTCTGTGCGCTGCCCTGCCTGACAAGGCGAGCCGGTTGGACTTGCCAGGGGCTTGCTGGTTCTCAGGGAGTGATCCGGAGGCCTTCCTCGAATTGGAGGATTGGAGCCCGGCGGTTTGGTGGTCCACTTCTGGTTTCCTTTGAAAAGATCCAATGGCTCGTGCCGAAAACACCAACGAGCAAGGCTTCACTGACCCGAGTTTGGGCGGGGGGGCCTAAACGATGCCCCGAAAAGATGAACGTGACACACAAGTGTGTTACTTTCCCTCTTGATATTTGTTTTGCATTTTTTCCCAGGGGACGAAAAACACGAATGGAGGTCTTCCATCTTGCCCACCGACCAAACCAAGCGACCAACCGACCGACCGACCGACCGACCGACCAAACCAAGCGGTTTCTTTACGTGGATCAGTGAAACTCCAAGCTGCAAGCTTTGGCCAGGCTGCAGACATCTTGGGCGGCAAGGTCCAAGGCTCCGTGCTGACCGACGAGGCGCTCGCTCGCGCGCTTTCGCGCGTTGGCGCCTTCGCGCGATCGACAGGGTAGGCGGGTAGGTTGGGTAGGTGGGTGGGTGGGAAGGTGGGAAGGTGGACCTGGGGGTTGATCGAAAGGACCGTGATACGTGGGATGACCATCAAGGAAACCACCAAGAAATACGATATGTCCACCACGAAATGGGAAAAGTCACGCATGATCAAGCCCCACCTGGATTCTATCGGTTTAGGCAGGAGGTTTGAAGTTTGCCATGAGAGGTGTCACCGCAGTGGCTGGTTCTGCCCTCGTGCATCCTGGAGGACATCATTGAGGTGCGATCAATCTTTATCCGACATGTTACGTGCTGAGGTAAGCCCCCTCGAGGTCGACACCGTAACATAATCCTCTCCGGTCAACAGCAATAGGAAAGTCAACGGAACGCGTGTTTTTCTCCCAGTGCTGGAAAGTGCCTGAATCAATCAGCGGGGTTTTGTAAGTGTGTTTCTAGGGGGTCTGGCCGGCCTTCAAGGCGGGTACTCTCTGTGAGCTTGTCAAGCCTTGGGGTCTTTTGCGCAATATGCAACATGAATTGTTGTGACCGTGTTTCCGGCTAACCGTGTTTTGCGTTTTGGGAAAAGCAACCCTTAAGACTACGAAGGGAAGTAGTATGTCAGAAGTATTTTCCCGCAGCCTTATATGATGTACAATTGTGCTTGCTCATGTCTTTGGTGTGAGGTAGCCGGCTTTCATTGATCCGGGGATTCTGGCGGGTGCCACTTGAATCGGTGCTTTTTGGCCACAGCTTGGCCCCTCTTTCTATAGTGGCTAGCAGTCGGGGGCGAAAAGTAGGGATTCTTAAACAGCCCAGTATCCTAGGTGTTTGGCCACTAGGATAGGTAACCTTTCGCCATTTTCCTGTCGGTTTTAAGGGGTGGCAAACCCTTGGTTGCCTACCAGAGTGGTTTGCCTGGAATCACTGGGCAGCCAACATTGTAGTGGTTTCCCTCGCGTCCCACTAGGGACTTTGGATTGGAATTCGGCATCCGGATCCCTTGATGAAGCTTTCAGGGCCGGATCCGGGCGTCCTTTTGTTGGTGGTTCTCAGAATCCCAGTTGGAGGGACACGTTCTTTGCACAAGGGTACCAAGGGATCATTTGAGCCACCATCAGTCGGGATTGTTCCACACTGCGAACAAGTCCTTGAGGCAGTTCGTTTGCTCAGTACCGGTGTTCTAGAAATTTCCTGGCCGAACAAAGTACTTGACAGCCACACAGACTGGCCAGGCTCATCTTGCTGGTGCGATAGGTAGGGAATGACCCAGGGTTCGGGAATGAACTTAGAGATTTATGGGGGACTGGTAACCCTAACCAAGCCACCTGGGACGAGCGTATCGCCCAAGTGGAAAGGCCCGTTGTTTGGACCCTTTTCGGACCCCTTTTACAGGAAATTAAGGGCATTGATATTTTGAGGGTACGTTACCTTTTAGTTTGGGGGGCGTGGATTTTTTCAGGGTACTTTTGTTCTTCTTTGTGTGTGTTTTTCTTTGGGGGTAGGGTGTGTGTGTGTGTGGAAGGGAAACCAAAAGCAACATGTTTGTTCTTTTGGTTTGGAAGGGAAACCCACCAACATGTTGGCCCTGGAAAAGACATACCCATTTTGGTCCTGCACTTTTCGGACCCTCTGAGTTGAGCTGGGAGGTCCTTGAGATCCTCATCAGCATCCACTCGGGCAAAGGCCAACCGGAGGCCCGGAGGTCTCGGATGTGCGGATGTGCGAAGAGACGCGTGGACATCGGCGGCCTGTGATGAAGCCCTAGAAGATGAAGAGCAGAAGTCCCAACTGCGAAGCCACAACAGAATGCCAGTGTGCTCTTCTTAGGGCGACCCCCACAGCATGTCAAGGGCCCTTTTTGTTTTTCCTTTGGCCTTTGTTGGCTCTTTTGCCAACCTTGCTTTAGGTCATTTCGACATTAGTGCACTTCTGCAGCTTCTCGTTCACTCCAGTGCATGCACTTGCCTAAATGGTAAGCACACCTGCCTGCATACCGCCACGCGCCGCCAAATCACTGGCTTGCCGGCTCAAGAACACGCTCAGCACTGCATACATGGCCAAATGATCGACACCCTGCGGGTTTGTTGTGTTTTTTGGGTACTTTTGTTGAGGTTGAAAGGGGCATCTTCTTGGGGATCCAACCTAAAATAAGACGCTCGCATTATTTGAGGGAAGCACGTTCTTATTATTATTCTTATCATCGTTATATATTTTTGTTCGGGGGGGTGCCCTGAATCTCCTTTTGCGGGACTGAAGGGGTTCCACGTTGAAATGTTTGCAGGATCGTTCCTTCTGGGTGGGAGACCTGCCGATAGCCCCCGTCGGACCCCGCGGGGTTCGGAAACCGGCGCCAGCTCTTCCTGCACCTGGACGCCACGCTGCTGCTCTTCCTCGCCGGGGCGCCGGCGTTGATTGTTTTTCTCCGTGGATTTTTGAGGCCAGAAGCACAGGTGTCCTTTGTGGTTGGTTTGCTTAAAGAATAGAGGGCGATTCCTGGTTTAGATGGGGTTTATGCCCCATTTACCAGGGAAACCCATCTATAACAACTGTAAACCAGTACATGATGGCTTGTTGCCTCTCCATGTTGCGACCTCTCGCCCTTGCCAAAAAGCCTGGTGCCTCCCATTCCGCGCCTGGAACAAAAACGCGGACCGGACCGGGCGACCGGGCCCGCCCCGGCCCGCGATGATTCTCTTTTTTTTTGAGATCACCTTCATCCTGGGCAGCGGGCACCACGTGAAGAACCCCAACCTCCGGGGGAAGGCGCGGCCCGCTGCGATTCGATCCCTGCGCTGGGGCAGCGGCAGGGGCATGGTGCTCTTGTGTTTTTTTTTGGTGGCGCGCTGGGTGTTTTGGCAGCCAACTCGGCCGGCATTGCGTCTTGCACTGTGCATGTTCAAGACTGCATGATGCTTTGCATGCATCAGCGTCCTTTCTTACCATCAGGCGCATTCGTGCCAAGCATGCAAAGCATATGCACGCCAAAGGCGTGCATGACATAAGTGCATGCCAAATGCATGTATGGCATGCGTGCGCAGTCATTGCCACCTGATGCCACACGCCAATCAACAACCACTCCACCATTCCAGCAGCCCGACGAGTGTGAAGCAGGAAGCGTTTGGAGCAACTCAAGGGCATTCCCGGCACAAGACTTGCAGCTTGTGCATATGTCTTATCACCTGTTGCTTAGTGCTTAGGTGGTTTGGTTGGGTGGTTTGGATCGTGACAAATACCTTCATGCTTCAAAGGAGGGGGGTCATTGACCGTCAAACCCCCAATCCAAAGAAGCGATCAAGGGCTAAAATTGACAACCTCACGTCACTTGCAAGGACCCAGAAATTCGCAGGTGATAACAGGTTGAGCTTTTGGGATCTCTGGGGGTACAGACACCGACGGAGCATTTCTCTCGAGAGCCCGACCGATTTTTCGCTGTCAGGCGGCGACCATCATGAAAGGCTTGACTGCGTGGCTGGCGCCATGCTTTGCTTTTGCAATCGCGGGTGTGTCAAAAGCGGAAGACCGCTTTTCCCGCAACAGTAGTATTTGCTTTGGCTTCGCTTGAAAACAACCCCAGCAAGGAAAGGTTGTTCATGCCCAATTTCCCTCCAACAAGCGGTATGTGGGTGTGTGAATTTTGGTTGAGAGGACTCTTTCCAAGGACACCAGCCAGTTTGGCCGGGGGTGGGGGGGTGGGGGGTGGGGGGGTGGGGGGGGGTGGGGGGTCTTCCGGGGTTTTCGATGTTTTGAGACCAGCTCATGTAGACCAGGAAGCAACCTTCCACTCTTGGGACGCACCAACCCGGGCGCTTGAAAAGTGCGGCCTCGCCCGCAAAGCCGGGCTATGGAATGGGGGGGGAAGGTTCAGTTCAGGTCTCCGGAAGGGATCTTTCGGAGCTCCGCTGCCTGATGCTTCCCTCGGTTTCGGGGGGAAGCGACTTGTTTCCACTGGCGTTTCCGCAAGCTGCTTCCGCTTCCGCAAGCTGCTATCTTCTGCTAAATTCTCCAGATTGGAGGTCTTTCAAGCATCGGCTTTTCTCTTTCCGCAGGCTCGGCGCACGGTTGAGTTCTCTCATCCAGAAGACCCGGACCTTCCGGGGCATGGCAGGCAATCGAACTTCCGGCACCTGGTGGAAAATTCGCCGGTCCTGGCAAATGACATCGTGCCAGGGTGCAATCCTCAAGTTTTAGCAGCTCAAGTTGGGGTGCAGGTCTTCAGATTTGTGTGAAGCTTTTCCTTGTCTTTCCTGCTGTACCTTCCATTTCCATGTTCTTCATGGATCCAACTCTTTAACAAATGAGGAAAACGGGTGGTTTCTAAAAGAGAAGGATAGGTGAAGAGAAGGGGAATCAACCCTTTGAGATGTCTTAGGTTCATGGTGGTTGGCCTGTTGCCGATTTTTGGTTCTGCTCATTCTTAGTGGGCTGCAAATGGCGCACATCTTGTGGGCAGAGGGGTAAGGACGTTTGCCCATAGTTGGACCGCTGGTAAGAATGGGCAGGCCTTACCACGTGGCAGTGTCGCCTGAGTACTGACTCAGCTACTCACCTGGAAATCCGAGTGCTTGGAGTCCCTGGCAAAAAGGGGCCCGCCGGAAGCCGGTGCGAGGGGTTCCGAATTTCCGAAAAGCAACTCAGTGGTTGACTTACATCAAACTGACCTGTCTGAATTTTGTGATTTGGAGTAGCCCCCCTAGCCATTCTTGTTGAGCCCGTAAGAAAAAAGAAAAAGAAAGAAGCAACCTGAAGGCGCCCACTCTAACGACTTCCCGTGCTCGATGCAAAGAAATGGCAGTGGCTCAAACACATGTACTAAAATGGCACAAGCCTAAGACCTGCGTACCCTGCTCTTGAATTTTGAGCAACACCCAAAATCCAGGGTTTGAGTCATTCGGCTCCCGTGCTAGCGGATGTTTGACTCAGGTGCATCCGTGTCTTCACGGCAGTGGAGAAGACCAAGCAGTCGCCAGGTCCCCAAGATGTTTGAAGAGCTGCTCAAGTTGCACTTTTCTCAAATTTTGGGCAACGAGGCGCTGGCTTTCTGCTGGAGAAAAGCCGCACGCGATCGGAACCACCCTTTGATGTTCTTGGCCAGTTGATGTGTTTATTCTAGCTTGTGTCGAGTAGTCTATGGTCAAGATGTGGGAGGGGCATGCGGCATTTTCCCTACATTTCCGAGCATCAAATAAAGCAGCATTTGGCTGGCAGCGAGGTTCTACGACATTCGGATGCAGCTGAAGTACCAGCTCCGCATTCCCATCATGGACCGAAGCGAGAGGGTCCACACATATCTCGAAGAATACAGTTCATGATAAAGGCTCAAGTAAGAAAAGCAGGTTGAGCGAGCAGGCGTCTCCTCATTTTTATTTTTTTGCAAGGAGCTCTTCGAGCGAGTGCTGCCGCTAGAGGCCCGGGCACTCACGTCCAAACTGGAGCCAAGTCTCCAGGTCCTCGGCTCGCATGCCTCATGGGAGACCGAGAGCGGTCGCGTGATTTTTCGATCCTCCTCTAGGTCCCCCAGCGATCGGTGCCCTGTTGCCCCTTTTGTTGGGGGAGATTCGGTTCCCCTACTAAAATCGACTACAGAAAAAAGGGCACCCTTATTCTAACCTCTCTACTGGACGACCAGTCCTTGTACGAAGCGTAGGATAGGATCTGCGACATGATTTCGAGAAGCATAGCTTGATGAGCGTCGAAAAACAGGCCAGGTCAACCTTCCACAGGATGCGCAGCGCATGCTGGCAGTCGGGAGACAGTAGCTGCCGCCAAGACACACACAGGAATCAAGAAGGCGTCTGCTTGGCAGGCCCTTTGCTCCCCAAAAAAGCGGTTACACACACGGAGATTTCCCCATCTCCAAGGAGCAAACATGCACCAGTCGTATCGGCTCCTAGGACATCCATGGAGTCTCAGTAGGATGGCGTAAGTAAGACGAAGATGCGCGGGTAACCATGTTGACGTTGAGCCTGAACCACGTCATGATGTGTGAAGTGAAATGCACATGTCAGAAATCAGTAAAACCAAAGAAAGCAATGACATGCCAAAGACAATGAAGGTCTGAAGATCATCCAGACCATGTGAAGATCATCCCCCCACCCCACCCCACCCCTCCCCACCCCACCTCAATGCGTTCAACATTTGCCGAAAAACGCTGTTAGTGCTTCGAGGGAGCCGCCTGCCACGAACTAGGAGAGTGGCCGGGGCTATGGAGCAGCCGGAAAACCGCTAACCCTTTGTCTTGGGCAGGTGAAGAATCGGGTCTGTCCTTTTTTAGGAAGCAGGAAAGCACAGAATGGCAAGGGCTCTTGAAGTGGTTTTCTTCTTTAAACCCCCCCTTTTTGGTGGTTGTAAACATCACCTTTTTGGCCCATGAGAGGTGAAGCCCAGGAGCCCTGTGAAAGCCCCAGCCAACCTCGTCGAGTCCCAAAGCCCTTTTCGTCAGGCGCACCAGAAGGCCCTGAAGAGCTTTGCCACGGAGAACCCGGATGAGTTCCTCAAGTTCTTGAACAATCTGTCCGCCCCCAAATGTTGGCGACTGGTGTGTCCGGAAGGGAAGTAGATGCCCTCAAGGCACCTCGTTTTTTGTTTTTTTCGACCCAAGGAAAAGCTGGGCGCTGGGTGTGTCGTTTCGATTCCTCTTTTGAAGGGGACATCCCAATCGAAGGGAAGCCCAGAGGAAACGCGAGCGTGGCTGAACCCGATGCCCCTTTTTTGCAGGGCTCCTTGAAAGAGATCTCCATTTTGCAACCATTTGAAACATGTGGCTTTTTCAACACCGAAGTAAAGTTGGAAACCACCATTTACAAGTTGCAATGTTCAGGTGTATAATCTTTGGTGCATTTTGCTTGGCTGTTAGGACTTTATCTTTTTGCCAACTACTGGGGTTTCCACTAACCCACTAAAAGTTAAGCTTTTAGCGGGGGAGCAGAAAGCAACCGAGTAATGTGAGGATCCCTTTTTTGGCATTCCCCCATTTGACCCTTATCGGCGCCGTCGGAATGGGGACTTTCCAGATCCTAGCACTACTCAAGAGCCATGACTGAAGTGCAATTATGGGGTTGCTACACGGGTTTGTTTTTTTTGAGGGTACCCGCTTTTTGGTGGGTTTGTGAAAGGGAAACCAAAAGGAAAACCACAGTTTGGGTGGGGGCCTTAAAAAGACACACCCAACTACAGTATTAGACAACCACGTTTAGACAAGCCTTGCTAGAACCCATGAAGACAGGTTATAGCAATTTGACGCCTGGGGGTGGCCACTGCTTGAGTGCCACATTCGCAGATTCGCGTCCGCTTCTTGCAGCCATTTGAGATCACGCCTAGAACAAGCGTTGCGCAGCGACAGCAAGACGCAGAGGCGAAAGTGCGTGAGCCCAGAGAGTTTTCAACTGTGCGGTTAACATGAAGCAATGAAGTTGTTGAATCAAGCCGAGTTGGCCTTTTCTTCCCCAAAGAGTAAGCAACTCAGATGAGGGGCACCGACCCCTTTCCAAGCCCTTCTGCTCTTTGATTCTTGTGCCAAACATCCCAACGAGTCCCAAGTGCAACTACGCTACGTGCCGCCCGTTGCTTTTATATGAGACCCCTTTCAAACCGGAACGTGTGTGTTTATAATTCATGCCTCAGTCTACGGTCAGTTGCTTGTGGGAGTCCCCAAATTGAGGTGACTTACTTTTTTTGACGGTACCCCTTTTTGGTGGTTTTAAAGGGAAACAAAAAATAATACCACCATTTTTGGGGGGATCCACCAAAAAAGACGCACCCGAACCTCATCTCTACAGCGTGTTTTGCCCGCGGTGCGTTGGGTGCTGCATGCGACATGCATTGGGTGCTGGCTACGTATTTCGATGGGGAGACCCTCCAGATTTGTATTTTTGTGTCCACGATTGTGTACTAGTATGAGTTTCTTTCCTGCAGGTCCTGATGTCGCTCAAATATTTTGTTTTGTCACTCTTTTTTTTTTTGGTCATTGGCCTTTGTCGTTTTTTTGTCATTCTGTTTGACGTCAAATCAAACCAAGGGTCCATCTCAAATCAACATTCATACCCACATGGCAATCCCTGAATGATCCAGGAGAAACTCGCAGGACAGTGATCCCAGATGCCATGATTTGAATTACAATGGACGCCGTAAATATTGCCGCTGCAACTCGTGTTTTGTGGTTTGTGGTCGGTTCACTTGCAACGTTTTGGGGAAATCCACCCTACAGCCGCATAATACTGTGGATGGACTCCTGCACCACCTAAGAAGCCCTGGAAAGATTCGATTCCCCAACGTAAATTACCAACACACTTCTTGGTTTCAACCATGGTTTCTTGATGATTCCCAACGTAAATACCAACAACCTGGTTGGTTTCGCATGGTTTCTACTGATGATTCCCCTGCAAATACCCAACAACCCACGCTTTCAAGCCATGGCTTCATTTGAGCCACAATCAAAACCCGGGTATGAAGGTTAGTAAGGGACAATCCCAGCCACAAATAGCTGCGGATATCCGCCTTCTTGATTCTTGAAGCATGGTTCTGGGTAGACCAATTTGATACCGGATTTGATTATGACTCATTTTGCGGCCGCGGTTTGGCGGATGCCGCAGCCGTCCCCACGACCTCACCGAGGCTGTGGGATGACCTCTACGAAGGGCGTGCTCTGCTCAGCTTGCGGCTCCCAGGGCAAGGCGTTCTGCAAAAGACCCGTTGGTTCTTTTGGATTTGGTCCTTGTTTTTTTGTTGTTGCGCGGGCATCCTTTTTTTTCCACTGGGTTGGTTGGGGGTGGTTGTTGGTTGGGGGTGGTTGTTGGGGGTGTGTGGGGGGGTGGTTGTTGTGTGTGGGGGGGGGGTGGTTGTTGTTCCCCCAAGTTTTTTTCCCACTTGGGGAAGCTACAGGCCCTTTGAACCAACCTGTGCGTTACGAGAATACCTCCTGACCATTTATGTATACATATTATGTATATATAGATGAATCTACATATTTTCCATATCAATTATATTGCATCTTATATGTAGTGTTATTATAGATGCATGCATACATATTTATACAATAGAGGAGGTAAACCTGCCCTTGCAAACGCCAGCCAAAGGGGCTGCGGACCTCTCTCAGGCTGTGGCTCTCTGGCATTGCTGCGTCAGGGTCTCAGAGGATGCATGGTCGTGGCTGTGATGTTTTTGGGAATCTCTACTCCAAATACCCACATGTTTTGGGAAAACCCGGGTTTCCATGGTAAATATCTCCTTTTTTAGTAGAGGGTCGACATCATACCCTAAAAAAGAGCGGGTATTGGGTGTAAGGGGTATGGAGGCGTGTCTTTTTTTGAAGGTGCGCTCAGCAAGTGAGCTTAGGCATAAAAGACAGCAGTTGCGAAGGAAATCATGATGCCATCGACTCTTTTGAAATAGCAGTTGACAAGCACCCGTGATCCACCATTGAAGTGTCTCAAAATGATGGACACCCTTTTAGGTTTCCTTTCGAAAGCATGTACAACTTGGCACAAGTCACCTTAGTTCATGCAGAGCGACTTACTCTTCCTGCAAGATCTGCAACTTGCTTCTGACAAAGTCCATGCAGAAGATGGTTCTTTTAAGGGTACCCTGTTCAAGGTTGGTGGAAAAGGGAAACGGAACCACCCTTTTTGTGGGTGCCACCTTGAACAGATGTGGCCCAGTTTTCTTTCAAAGGAGTATCCCCCTAGCCCTCGGAACACCCGCAAGCCGCACCTGAGCGACCTTCAATCTGCTGGCTTTAGCTGCTCTTGTGCAGATGTGGCCAGGAGGTTCAATAAGGGAGCCCCCTGAAAAGTAGTGGCTGGACATAAATCCCCACCGAAATGATGTCAGGGTCCCCAGACCCACATTGTCGCTTGGTAAAACCACACTGCGAGCGGCTTTTTTTCTTTTTTTGCGGAGGCTTCCAAATTGTCAACTGCATCTCCAGAGCATCGCATCGTGCAGAGATGCTGGACGAACAGAGCGCCATTCTGAGGCCTGCGGCCGAGAATGGCGCGCAGAGAATCCCAGTGCTGCTGACATGTCACTTCGCTTCTTCCACACAAATGTGCGACAAGCTGCGATGTTGCTTCTTCACCCTGGTTTTTGGGGTCCTTTTACCAGGCATTTCTGTTTTGCGATGTACAAAGTAGACTTCAAGTGTTCAACCACTGGGTTTACGTCGACCGTGGGTTCGCCAAAAAGCAGCATCCCATGTTCAGCAGACTTAATAGGTTTTGACCATGTTATTTCGAATAACTCAGTCAACCATATTTAGGTTACGACCATGGTCATACTGTGGATGGACAAAATCCTGCACCACCCAAAAAATCCCTGGAATGATGATTCCCGTGTAAATACCAACGAACAATGGTTTCCCATGACTTCAAAGTGGTACAGGATTTCGTCCATCCACAGTAGGTTCTGACCTGAGGTTGTGACCATGCGCCAGCCAACTTAATAGGTTGGAGATCGCCTAAGCGACACCCAAGTGCCAGTCCCTGGATGGCTCAGTTGCCAGGCGATGACACCGAGTGCTGTCCTTTTGCTCCCAAGGCCGGCACGAAACTGCCCGTTGCCCGTTTCAGCGCACCCGTACTTGACTGGTGTGATGTTCCAGGCAAATAGGTTGTTGAGAACCAGGCCCCAGCCCGGGGATTGAACAGAGGGAACAGAGGGAACAGAGGATTGAGCAGAACAGAGGGTGCTTGTTTTTTCCTGGGCTTAATTAAGCCTACAATTTGGTCGTCAGAAAGTGGGCCCTGGCCATCTTTCCAGTTGTCTCAATCGGAAACTTTGGCATTCGGTGCGTTGCAGGTTTGGGGGGGGGGGGTTCAGGGTGCCATGGTCCAAGCCTTGGCGTTTCCATCATGTTTTCGTTTCTTTTGCTTGTTGCGTGGGTCCATCACGGCCACCCGTCTTCTAAGTTGTAGATCGCTCTTCTTGTTGTCAGTGGACATGCAAAAGCGACGTCGTCTTCCCTCGCCTTTTGGAGGACCCTCCGTTGGGCTCGCCATGTTCCCCCCTAAAAGATCACGCCAAGAAGCTGATCAAGTCTCTAAACAGGTGATGTGTAAGCCGCCTTTTGCAGGGGGAAATCGATATACATTGGCTTGTCTTTGTGGGGAATTTTCGTTTGGCTCGCTTACGGAATGTTTCCGCTCTGTCTCAATGTTGTGTTGGGAGAACCCCCTCCCCCTTCCCCCCTGCACCCGCCTCAAAAAACGAAAGAAAGAAAGAAAAGAACAGAAAGAAAAGAAAAGAAAGAAAAGAAAAGAAAGAAAAGAAAGAAAAGAAAGAGAGAGAGAGAAAGAAAAGAACAGAACATATAGTAACAGAAAGCATAAAAGAAAGATTCAGAAAACAAAAGAAAGAAACAAAGAAAATAAAGAAAGAAGACCTTAAGTAACAAAACTCCGCCTCGCAAGGCCCAAAGTGGACAAAGAAAAAACAGGAACGGGGTCCGAGCAAAGTCTTCAAGTGGATGGCCAGATGCTGGCCTTCGGCACCAAGACAGCTTGGGGCCAACGGTCCAT